TAATCTTGCCATTTTCTATTTGTCGCAGCTGACGTACAATGCTATAATATCTCTCTATCATATATTTTTAAATAAATCTATTCTAAATAAAATTTTTATAAGATAATTATATAAAAAGCGTATATATAAAAAGATATGATTCTATATGTAATTGAAATTAAAAATAAAATGTATATTTTGTGTTATATAGAGAAATATTTTTGCCTTTCAGTCAAGTTGGCTATTCACCGTCGTATAGTTCGATGTCACACATCTAGACTTAGGAGGGAATCATGAAAAAACAAAGATGTGGCAAACTGTCAAAACGAAATATTTTTTTGAGAGGCCTTTTTGTTGTTTTCATTTGCATTGTATTGAATATTCATTTGCTTTCTGTCCAAAGTCATGCTGCTACCTTGTTAATGAACGGCTACAAAAAGACTACAGAGCTGACCGACGCAGATTGCTCTGATGCACATCAGAAAAACTATCAACAGGCTGATGCGTCAAGTGGTAAAGGCTTTCTGTATAAGACAGCTGAGTGGACTAACAAAGATGCGAAAGAAGCAAAAATAACTCTTATGGCACAGGATGCGCTTCCACCAGAGAAGACGCGTTCTGCGGTGTACGCCTTCAATATATGTGAGGCTCATGGATTTAGTAAGGACATCGCAAAGAAGAACATAGACTTTCTTTTAAAAAACTTTGATCGCGTAGATATTGTGCGAACTGGTTTGTTTGACGATGAGAGGGTCCAGACCATAGAGAACATAAAGTCTTTTAATGACATAAAGTGGCCGTCACCGGCGGCTGCGAGGGCGGCTGGAGCATGGTCGTCCACGGAAGACAAAATTGTTAGCTCTCACAGAAACATTGGACTCTACGACGGTTTGAGGGAGTACTTGAGCGTTCATAAACCGACGTGCATCTATGTGTCATTTGATCTGTTTTATGTTGCGCAGATATCCTTTTCATTAAATAGTGTGTGGGAAGTACCTGAGGATCCTACGACAGGTGTGAGAACCATACTCGACGAAACGATGCAAGCTCCAGAATTATTGAAAGGCGTTACGACGGCAAACGGTATTCCGAAAACAATGGATGAGGACTGTTTTGACATATTAAAGCGCTATAAAAAGGAAGGGCGCTACTTCTCTATGGCCTGCGACTATGACGGAAAGCCAGTAACCAAAGATGGTGGGACGTATGCGATCGGTGGCGACCCGGAAAATATTGTGAAGATAAATGGGAAAGCGGAAAAATTGGGGCGCGAGCGGTTCTTTTATTCTGCAAATATAATTGCTGCACTGGCAGATCCAACCGTGTGGCCGGGTCGTGAGGCCGCGAAAAAGGGACTTTGGAACGGCGAGCCCTATAATCCTATTAATCCAAAAGATTCAAATCTTACTATTGCGAAAGAATTTTCTCAGAAATTTCAAGGTTTCAAAGGTATTGCACCCGACTATCCATACAATAAGGATTTTGCAACTATAAATATTTCAACTAACAAATGTTCCTTACGTATAACAGACACGGTAGCAGACTATTTCGAAATCATCGAAGCTACGTCAGAAAATCCGAAAGCGCACATTGAGGTTAAGGGCAATACGGTGTCAGCGCTGCTAGAAGACTATGACGGAACAGCGCCACTTATCGTGACCATAAGGGTTAAACTGTCTGAAAAGAAACGCGATGTGCTCGATAAAATTATGGAGAAATGGAACGATACTAACGCAGGACCAGCAAAGATGTCTTTTTCCGGGGATCGTGGAGAGGCTGAAACTGCTACGGTGAACTCTCCAAAATTGTTTGTTCATATGGGGGAGCTGTCTGCGTTAGGTCAAGGTCGGTCAGTTCAGTATATGCCCGGCGTTAAGCGTATGTTTTCTCAGCCTAAGTTAAAGTCCGAGCAGTTGGCACAATTCGAGTCAAAACCCGCTCCGGCCAAATCCGAACCACCAAAACCTGCTCCGGCCA